AAGTAAAACCTTGGATCGTGAGGAAATTCTGCCAGGGTCCCGCAAGACGAGCAAACATGTCTAATAAATTTTAACCTGATAAACGAGCGCTGTCTTGCCTTACGGGTAGCACGTGACGCCGAACGTCACGTGATCACACCTGAGCCAACGGTTCTTGGAATTCACCCTGATATGCAAATGCTTTGGGTACACGCATGTTTCCGGAATGAGTTATGCTCGCAAACCAAGGTTTTACTGTATTTTATGTTGAGTAGCATCGCAACCCGCATTTTAGTCGCCCTTAAAAGGCATAACTGTTCTTAGAAGCATTTACCCAGTAAGACAAGTACATGGTTCTGTAAATCAAAGTAATTCATCCTGTGCCACCCCAAATGACCTGGCACAACTGTGAGGTTCACGTAACACGCTTTGGGAGGTGTAGACGGGAAGCCTGATGCTTCCCCCAATGCGCTACAGGCCGTATCCGCTTCCCAGGGCTCTTCGAACAAAGTAGGACGCGCTGGGTGGTGTCCCCCACTTCTTGAGGTGTGACATCTGCCGTCAAGGTGTCTGCTTCCTTCTGAGAGTCCTCCTGAGGCCCGTGAGGGAAGGGCCCTCTGTTCGGCCCGCGCTCCCCCATGTGTGTCTGTGTCCACATTGTTTCCTTTTTATGAGGACACCAGTCCTACGGGATCGGGACCCGCCCTCACGTCTCATTCAACTTGATCCCCTCTGTTAAGACTCTAGCTCCAAATAAGGTCACGTTCTGAGGACCTGGGGTTTAGGGCTTCAACACATGAATTTGGGGGACACAATTCAGCCCATCACCCAGGCCCTCCCCAAATCCACCTCTGCTTCATATCCCTTGACAGGCCAGTTGACTTCTAATTTTTTTAAGACATTCTTGAAAAACTAAAAATTTTAATTTTTAACAATTTAATGTTTTAAATTTTAATTTAAAATTTAATTTAATGTTTAATGTTTAATTGTTTTAACGTTTATTTATTTTTGAGAGAGAGAGAGCATGAGCAGGGGAGGGGCAGAGAGAGAGGGAGACACAGAATTCGAACAGGCTCCAGGCTCTGAGCTGTCAGCACAGAACCCGACCTGGGGCTCAAACCCACAAACCGTGGGATCATGACCTGAGCTGAAGTCGGGCACTTCACCATCTGAGCCACCCCAGCGCCTGTGTTCGATCAACTCTTCAAACACCACTATTTTTGCTTTAGAAAGTCAGTACCTTCCAGAGTGATTAAAAAGAAGAAAAACGAGGGACATCTGGGTGGCTCAGTCTTCCGACTTGGCTCAGCTCATGATTTCATGGTTTGTGAGTTTGAGCCCTGAATCGGGTTCTCTGCTGTCAGGGCAGGGCCCACTTTGGGTCCTCTGTCCCCCTGTCTCTCTGTGCCCTTCTCCTGCTCGCATGCTCTCTCTCTCTCTCTCTCTCTGTCTCTCTCTAAAAAGTAAACATTTTCTACAAATAAGAAAAACAATGCCCTTTATATTTACCTTACTCTCTGGAAATCCTCACTGTTTGGTGTAGATCCAAGTCTGTTAACACGTTCCTTCGTCTGAAGAATTTCCTTTAGTTCTTGTGCTGCAAGTCTGCAGGAGATGAATTCTCTCCATTTGTGTCTGTTTGAACAAGTCTTTATCTCTCTTGCGTTTGTGAAAGATTTTTTTC